GTTTCGTTGTAGGGTCTGGGGTGGTCGTTCGGCCGGGTGAAGGGACGGATAGAAGAGGAAAAACAACGGTCCGAAGGGGATGACCTGGAGGAGCTGGAGGACCTGATGGCAAGCGTGATGCTGATCCTGATGTGATTTTTTATGAAGCATTCTGAAGCATGATGAAGCAACACTGCACTCTGCAGTATGAAGCAGGGTGTGAACAAACATTGGCCTAAATGAACTGTTCAGTACAGCTGCAATGGTTTGATATGGGTGTGTAGCTCAGTGCGTTCGACCGAACGCGTTCCGACCCGCGGGGGGGTTCGGTTCGGACAACTCGTCGAGTCTACCCAGCCAGGTTGAGTGTCTGCAAAAATACAACACATACACCGCGATCCAAATATGAAGAATGTCGGCACTGAGAATTCCAAACATTCCAGACATTCCAGACAGCGCATGGATTCCGACATGGGCCCCCTGGCGTGTTCTCCGGCACTCCCTAAATGGTCGCGCCTTCCTCGCTGGGGCGGTCGCTCACCTCGTCCCGTGGATTGGAACAGTTTTCACGTGACCTGTGGATCTCGAATTGATCAGCTGACGAACGGTGCGACGGACGAGTCGGTACTTGCCCGCCTGCCCGGTCGGTGGTCAGAGCTAGTCAGAGCTATAGCAGCTAACTTGGACTTTTTGGACGAGTCGCTCTGTCTTAGCTTTGAGTTAGCGAAAGCCCCCAAGCAGGAGAACGAGAGTCCTGGATCCAGCCACCCGCCACGCCGCCCGCCACGGGTCGCACGAAGTCAAGTCTTGGAACCGGTAAGTCGCACCCTCCAAAAGCACAAACAACTTCAGCATGAAAGGAGGATTTGGCATGGAAGGATGCATGAATATACAGCCCCTAAGTGGCTGATTTTCTGTGACCCTTCTTTCTCGACTGTCTCTAAAAAGGGGCCATGGGGAGTGAATGCATTCTTCCGCCATGGGTAAGGCTACTGCGCATGGTCCGACTTAACAGCTGGGAGTGGAAGGACGACTTGCGCTTCAGCGCGCCCGCGCCCGTGCGTAGGGAGAGACGTGCTGGGCACAGTTCCGACCTGCCACCGGCGATACTGCGAAATACATCAGTATACCTTCTTATAGCATCTTATAGCAGTAAGAATGCTCCTAGTAGCGATGCCAGAAGCCCTAGTAGCGTCCTTGCTCCTAGTAGCGATGCCAGGAGCCCCTAAGCCTAGTAGCTTCTTGTTACTAGTAGTAAGAATGCTCCTAGTAGCGATGCCAGGAGCCCTAGTAGCGTCCTTGCTCCTAGTAGCGATGCCAGGAGCCCCTAAGCCTAGTAGCTTCTTGTCACTAGTAGTAAGAATGCTCCTAGTAGCGATGCCAGGAGTAGCGATGCCAGGAGCCCTAGTAGCGTCCTTGCTCCTAGTAGCGATGCCAGGAGCCCTAGTAGCGTCCTTGCTCCTAGTAGGGATGCCAGGAGCCCCTAAGCCTAGTAGCTTCTTGTCACTAGTAGTAAGAATGCTCCTAGTAGCGATGCCAGGAGCCCTAGTAGCGTCCTTGCTCCTAGTAGCGATGCCAGGAGCCCCTAAGCCTAGTAGCTTCTTGCTACTAGTAGTAAGAATGCTCCTAGTAGCGATGCCAGGAGCCCCAGTAGTGTCCTTGCTCCTAGTAGCGATGCCAGGAGCCCCTAAGCCTAGTAGCTTCTTGTTACTAGTAGTAAGAATGCTCCTAGTAGCGATGCCAGGAGCCCTAGTAGCGTCCTTGCTCCTAGTAGCGATGTCAGGAGCCCCTAAGCCTAGTAGCTTCTTGTCACTAATAGTAAGAATGCTCCTAGTAGCGATGCCAGGAGCCCTAGTAGCGTC